AAAGTGACTTATTTTTGTAATAATTTTTTAGGTCAATCATTTAAATAAAATGTCCTATGGTGGCAATCATCTAAAGATATCACAAAATGTTGCCAGTCTTTAACTCAAAATCCTATATATTGATAAGATATCAATGAGAATCCTCAGAATTTAAAAAAGTGATTTCAGGATTGTTCTTTCTTCACATCATTATGCCCTGTGTCACAAACTATGCCCCGTGTCATGAAGTATGCTTCGCGTCATGAATTATTCTGCATCACAAATTATGCCTCACATCATGAATTATTGAAGACTCTAGCTTTCATATGATTATTACTTGTGGTATTGGTTAATAATATTATATGTCAAAATTTTCTTAAGGCAGACAATTATCAAAAACATGTACTTTTCCTGAAGAACCATCCATGTAAATATATTTTTTTTTTTTGCTTTAACCACATAAAGCACTTGGCTATATATATTCAGGATAATTCACTTCACATACTATCTAAATTATCGCCTAGAAAAAATGATATTAAAAAATTTTTGTATGTGCTGTACTATATTCTTTTTACAAAAAAAAAAAAATAAAATATTAAATATTTATTACTATATTACATTTCAAATGTCATCCCATTCTTCCTCAACATTATTCTCTTTATCAATGATATAATACTTGGATCCCAATTTAAATAATCCTATGCAATGATCAATTAAGCGCACATCAATAAATTCATAAGTTGTGAATTTGGTAAAATATTTGATTTCAAGATTTGTATCTTCAATCAATCTTGAAGTTAATTGAATAAATGCTAAAAATTTGGTTTTGTTTTGGTGCTTATGTGTGAAAAAATATTCAACTTTTCCATAAGCTTTGGTCAACATCAGTTCTGGGTCATCATTTTTTAAATGTGAATATTTGTCAATAGTTCTACGAAACTTTAAAATAAAATAAAAAATCAATTAAATATAAATCTTACACCTTTAATAAAAATAAAAAAATAATATTGAATTACTTCAACATAATGATTTTTTCTTGAAAAATGTTCTGTTCTATGGTTGAATATACTACTAATAATATGGCCATCTGAAGTTAGAAGCCTTCCATATTTTCTTCCTCTTTTTTCCACCTAAAAAAATTTATACAAAAAAAATTTTTGATTATACAATGGTTAATAAAAAAAATCATTCTTTTTTTGCCAAATCTAAATTCTTGAAACTGCTATAATTTCATGCCCATTTAGATTTTTTTCCCCCTATTGTAATTGAAATACTTCATTATTTTTACTTCCATAAAAAGCCTTTAATTTATTAAATTCATTTTCAATTAGGATATAATTTTTAGAAGGGAAATAAAGTTCTTCTTCATAATCTTCAATTCCTCCAATAACTTGACTCTCTGGCCAAATTTTTTCTTTTTGTCCAAATAAATTCTTATCAAAAATGTATGTCAAATGATTATATTTTTCAATCAAGGAAAAATTATTTGCCATATTTAAATAAGGATTTGATCTAGAATTGATTAGTGGTGATTATTTTGGTTTTCTTTTAATCTATTATTATTATTTGCAAATAAAAATCAAAATTTTGGAAATCATTCCCAAAAAATTATTTGGCTGAACTTTTTATTTTTTTACAAAAATTTGAAATTTTGCATACATATTCTTGAGAACTTTAGTCACAATTTGATGGAATTTATTTGTGTTTTATTATGTATGTTTTTGCGTAATTATTTGTTTTGTCCAGGGAGTGTATAATAATTTAATTTATAAATTTATAAACTTAAAAATTTTAATTATAGATTTCAATTTCACATACAACAATTATTAATATAAATTTTTAATTTGTATCACATACATTGAAAATTATTTCATGATACAAACAATAATTAAAACAAATTCTGATTGGCTAATTTTGAATAAAAAAATAATAAATTCATTAATCATTCTTTTTTTTAATAAATTCATTTAAAAATTAAAAAATAATAAATTCATAACCCATTTAAAAAAAAAAATTCAAACACAACTAAGTCAACCTAATAAAATCCATATATTATTTATTGCTTTTTTTTCTACCATGGACGAAAAACTATCACGACATCAACGTCACAATATAAATAAAAGGCTCAAATGGGGGCAAAATAACATAGAGTCCCAAGAACTGGAAGAGGATAACATCACCTTTAATCCATTAAAGGTATATTTGTTTTTTTTGAAACTTTGCTGAAACAATTAGCGTGTAACTTGCTGAAACTCTTGGCTCTATATATTAACCCCGTCTTGCATTTCTCATATTTCTCAAAACTTGACTTATTAAACTATTTTTAGCATCGAACCCAATCTGCAACTCGAAAGCTATGCACACATGATAAGGTTTATTATCTTGAAAAAGAGTGGATAAGTGTTCCTCTCTGTCCCTCTGATTGCATATCATCAAAAAAAAGCAAGACTCAACAAGATGTATCCACTCAAGATTTACTAATTGAGACCTTAATCTGGGAGGCAAAAAATGCTGATGGCAATTATCTTAATTCACCTGAGGTTCTTCCAAATTTTCTCAGATTGATCAACAGATATATAATCAACAAAGCTGATGAAAGTGATGAAGAGTCGGAGCTTCAAGTTACAAATTCATCATCTGAAGGGGACAAAAAATTGTGGGTTGATTTTGGGATATGGTTAGGTTTTGTGGGATCAATTAAAGCAAGAGAAGTGCAACGCCATCTCAAAAATAGGTGGAAAAAAATCCAACATGCCTTGGACTTACGAAATAATGGAGATATTATCATGACAACCACTAATAATAAAGATAAGACTGAGGAAATTGCAAAAGCACAAAACAATTTCAGTCCACTGGTCAGGTTGGCACAACTTCGTTATGTTGTAAGACCAGAGTGCATTACAGACTCAAATAACAAAACCCTAATACATCTTGAACAACTTGATAACCTATCTACCATTACAAAAGCTACAGATGCCATTAATAATTACTATTTCCACACTTTGAATAATGCAACCCATCGAAGTGATGGATTCTGGAACAATTTTACCGAACATTTTGGAGCTTATACATTATATAATACCCTTCCCTATTCTAGCTCTGATATTGCAAGTTCACACAATGCTGATCACCAGGAATGTGTCAATAATCTCCTCCGTGGTCTCAAACCTCTGTCAGATGTCATTAACAAATTTATTCAAGATAATTACGAAAGTTTATATGAGAAATTAAGCAAGCTAGTATGGGGGCCATTTGCACCAAGACCTTTTGGGGTTTTTCCAATGATTGCTATTAATTACAATATTATTAGTGATTATCACTGGGATGAAAATGATGAGGCAAATTGTTTCTGTTGTCTTGTTGCTTTAGGAGATTTTGAAGGAGGTGAACTATGTTTTCCCCAGCTCCAGATTGTGGTAGTGCTTCAGCCTGGGCAAGTTGTTGCATTTTCCTCACGTTTTCTACTTCATGGCAACTTTCCCATTACCAAAGGAATCCGACACAGTGTTGTTTACTATGTTCATCGTGGATTTTTTCATAATTCACGGGATTTCACCAAGGTTTATGAATGCAAGGATGAAATTTATAGAGACGCAAAGGGTAACATTAACAATCCTCAACAAAACCTCACTGATGCTAATGGGTCAAACAACTTAATCAACCTTACGAAACCAAAAGCATTCCAAACTTGTATCTCATCTGCATCATCTGATAACAGACGAAGGGGTGTAGGTAAGAATATGCCAAAAAATTTATGTGACTGTTAATATTGATAAAATTATTCACTAATGGTGTCTTCTATAGATTTGGCACGTGCTCGTCATGGCCTAAAGGCAGAAGATCCGCTACCTAATTCATAATACCTTTGTTCCTATAATGTATTATATATATTTATTAAAATATTCATGATGGTTAATGTGTTATTATTATTGAATTAATAAATAAATTGTATCGCCCAAACTTTTAAAAAACCAATTTTGAAAAAAAAAGCCATATAATGACCTGATGAAAACATTTTGCAGAGTTGGAAATAAATCCAACATATTGAATTTAGATGT